ATGTATGTATGTATGTATGTATGTATGTATGTATGTATGTATGTATGTATGTATGTATGTATGTGTGTAATAATATATTTATGCTTAGGATTAAAGTGTCTACACATGCATACGTATATCTATTTTTTGAATTCTACTTGGTTTTACTTTCCAAAAGCTTTTCCTATACCTATATATACATATATATGTGTGTGCTCGACTAAAATATATATATATATATATATATATAATTCACCCTATACTTCCCAAAAATGCATAGTATATATATATATATATATGCTTCAATACTATGCATTTTTGGGTAGTATAGAGTGATTTAATTAGGTCATGTCAACTGCCAATCTAGAATATTGTGTGTCTGTATGTGCTTTCTTGTGTACGTAAAAGTTCTAAGCCATCGTTGATAGCTCCGAGTAATTAGAATACAGCGTCGTAACCTCTGTCCTTGATTATTAATTTCCTAATGAGTCATTGAGTCTTCTCGACTCAATTACCTAAGTTGGTTGTAGGAACGTAAATCTGCTTTGATGATGTCCGCCCAACTGTTGACTGAGGCTGTGTATGTGTCTGTCTTCGTCGAAATTGAAGGAGGAGAGTAAATCGGAAGCTTCTTGTAGAACCAATCGACGGCGTATACGCATTCACTCGAAATGGAAGTGAGCTGATCAATTGTGAACCAGGAGATGCCGCAAAACCCAATATTTCTTTGTGCAAAATCTCAACTATATGAAGTCACCGTTACGACAAAAAGGGAGTGAAAAGTTGTGCCCAAAGGACAGAAGATTCAAAGTTCAATAGATTTATTTTGTTGCCTTGACCTACAACCAACCTTGTCGATCTTATTATAGCATCAATTTTAGAATCATTTCATCAGATAATTTTTCTCGAATCGAAGCGAGCACAATAATTTTCACCACAAAACAAAATCTTCTTATAATTAAAGTAGGCAATATCGTCGAGTACCTGTGCAAGCCTAAAACCGGACTTTGTTCAAAGGTCACATTTTCCCTGTGACTTTCTGGCAAAACGATACATACGACGCGGGATCAAAAAGTTGCTAACTAAACGTCAATAACATAGCTAGGCTTATTGTGGCATGACTCTCCATTTCGACGGAAAAGCCGGTTGTTGGAATGAAATTCATGACGTGATCTCATCGGAAATCGAATGAAGATTGCAGCGTAGGGCAGATTGTTGAATTGTGAGAATAAGTCATCATCAGAGCAAGATTACAGACTTCAAGAGATAGAGCAAAACTACAGCAGGAGATGTATTCACCATATTTCGTTTAAGGTGGTGAAGGACTGGTAGTAGAATTTTCCCACAATGATATGAGTAAAGCTGACGTTTCCATTCAATTTCACATTGGCTTGCTTTCCTAAAAGTTGTTGTCATCCCGGCACCAGTGGACTGCAGTTGGAATCCCGAAGTAGGTGGTGGGAGACAATGAAGCAGGATTGAAAGCGCAGCAAAAGGAGGCTCAAAACTTTGTCTCGAGTCATTGTGCTCAGATTTTTGTCAACCCAACAAGATATCACTCGAAACTGTCCTATTCTAACTCCGAAGGTAATTTAGTCGCCTTATCTACTCTATTCATTCAAACAAAGAAGTCATCCAAACACTCTTTATTTTTTGAATTAAGTATTATTTTTGTGACTACCAGTAAATCAGTAGTATGAGATGCATTCACCCAATTTCGTTGAAGGTGATGAAGGACTGGTAGAAGAAGAATTTTCCCACAATCAGATGAGTAGAGCTGACGTTTTCATTGCATTTCACATTGCTTTGCTTTCCCAAAAGTGGGAAAATTCTACCACCAGACCTTCATCTCCTCAAGTCTTGCCATCCAAAGTTGTAAAATGTGAAAAAGGACAGATAATTAATTTTTTTTCGAAAATGATATGAGTAAGCCTTACGTTTTCACTAACATTCACATAGTCTTACTTCCCAAAAGATATTCCCATACAGACTGGGCTGCAGTTTCGACCTTGCTTGAACTAGACTCGTCACGACCCCAAGCCGGACTCGAAGCTCAATTGTGGTGTTGCATGGTATAATTTCGCCATGTCATCTTCACTTGTCGAGACCATATGCGGCATTAGCATAATCCGAGTTCGATTCCTGCTAGGGGGGCTGATGAGACCGGGTTAAGCGAAGTCGCAACCAAAGTCCGGTCCAGTCCAGTCCAGCTGGATGAGAATACATTTTTGTTAAGCAAGACTGGATGAATTGCAAATAAAATGCAAGGCCTGCTCATATTATTTTGGAAAAATTAAACAATCAATCATAAATACAATTATACAACCAGTAGTGAATGAATTTCTTAATCTAGATTTAGTGACTTTTTTAGCCATCGCCCAGATTGCGTCATGCCGGAAACATGTATAGTGGGCAATGTCTTTGAGCATGTCATTTCATAGAAAAGTGCAAAATAAAGATATTCCCAACTCCCGCTGTCCGCAAGACATTCTCACTAATTTCGGATGAAAAAAGGATGATCCTTCGTCCGTCATGTCAATGGACAAATATCGTCATAGCTGGAAGTCATTTTCGCGAAAGCTTCAAGTTGACACTAAGATTATCTGAAGCTGTCCTACATGCTGTATACACTGATGGCTAACAAGGAAAATATATACTTATTTATGTATAGGTCGGTGTGAATGGGTGAGAGTTAACATGTGAAAGCGCGTGAACATTAAGAAAATAGCTGTATTCACCCTGTTTCGTGGATTGTGAGAAAGCACTAGTAGTTGAGTTACCCCACAATCAGATGAGTAGGATCCACATCACAAAACCTTGCTTCTATTAAGATACATTTAGGAAAGCTATGATTAGACTATTTGACGAACTGTAGTTGATGCGAAAAATGGCAATGCTGATTGACGATACAGGCGAAAATTAAGATGAGTAGGATTCATATCTCGATTGAATTTCACTCAACCTTGCTTCCCTTAAGATACATTTAAGAAAGCTATGATCAGACTATTTGACGAACTGTAGTTGATGC